AGTTAAGGGCTACTGGAATTATTTGCTGAGAACCATTTCACAACAAGTTATTGTTATGCACTTGTTTATATGAATACTTGCAATTCTTCTTCAAGAAAGAGATATTTTCACCATAAGTGGCTAGGAGTAAGAAGACACTTTTTCTTCGTTGACGAAGCAATTTTTTCTCGTTTCTAAAGCATGAGTTTGCATGCATTTAGTTTTAAAGGTACCAGAGCAAAATTCAGAATTATTCACAGATTGGTCAGGGTACTATACGATTCATTCGAAATACTCCGAGAATTAATTATCTAAAATAATCCACATTCAAACAAGTATCTTCATCATAAATGCTTAGTTGAAGTTATCTGTCCGACTGGACGTGCCTTTCTAAAAAGCAAATATTATATAACACAGAAAAGAAAATGCCGTAGAAACTTTATCAAATTATCATGATATTGAACAACTGTGCAGAGTATAAACTCTTATTCCGTCGACGATGTTCCTGAACATTGCTCCCTATAACAACCCAATTAGTTGCGTCGGGACTGAAATGCATGCGAATAGCAAATTTGCTGTGGCGCAGAACAGTTCGCGTGAACCTTAATTTAACGTAATAATTTTTTTTATTATTATGCATGAACTTTAATTTTACGCGGCTACTTAATATTAAGCGGCTACATTATAAGCGACTACTGCAGCAAATTTATATCTCATGACACACATTTTAACAAATTGAGATGCTTAATGGCTTAAAATGAGCAATATACAGCCGATATTAAAGCAAAATACAACGAAAATTAAATGATAAGTTAGTAATGAACAAGGTTTGTTCCTAGAACCGTCAATAACTTCATAGATGAAAAAATCTTGTAAATTATTGTCTGTTGATGTTCCTAATCGCTGTACATGCTCACTGCTCAGTCATTGACTGCATACAATGATTGAATGCTCTAGTCGGATCAAAAATTCACCGTGTACAGGGAACTTTTAATGACGGTACGTATTGTGAAAGGATAAGTGTGTTTCTGAAGTTTTCCTCGAAGCTGTAAATTCAACAATGTTAGAATCTCAATCTTACTTTCCCGTCCAGCAACTTCTTGTTTCCTGTCATCACTTGGAAGCAATTATCTCGTGTTACTGTCGTCCCAAGCAGCAGTTCTTTAACGATTTAACGAACTGTTCAAACTAATGCATTACTTCCATCCCTGCATAAAATGAAGTCAAAGTTGAGCACTAGTCTCTTGGATCATAAAATAACGTAAATTTGTTTCCATTTGCAGTCGTTATAAATTCCTGTAGAAAAAATTCAAGCATTTTAGTATCATTTCTAGTCCATTAGTCTAGCCTAGTCTAGTATTGGTTATTAAAAAACCATATGGACAAGAATATATATTGGACGAGGAATGCTGTCAGTGTGCCAGTAAACCTTTAAACGCACCGACTTTTTTATTCTGTGCATCAGTATAGCTGGTTTGCTGCAGCCATATGTCAAGCGAGGTATTTTAATCCGTCTATTTTCTTAATGGAAGTATATACTGCATCCTTAAGTCGTACGCTCATCAGCCTCGCTCCGTTGACAGACGGGGCCCTGATTAAAAAATATATCTCAGTACTCACTGCAGAGAGCGACAGAGAGCGCATTTTCTCGTAGACGAAAACATGAAGTCACGGACGGACAGACAGACGGACGGACAGACGGACATGGCGAGCACAATAGTGCATTTTTTCGTAAATGAGAAAATGCGTTAAAAATATACGGCCACCGATTGAAGAATTATTCATCTAGCCCTCCCTCTACTGTAAATGCAGTTACTATGCCATATTAGATACGAATAACGTTAGCAATGTTCAAAATATATTTCCAGAGGCCATGAGTTTAGTTATTTCTTTTCGAATATTTGTAAATGATGAGTCCATTTGGACCCAAGTGTACCAACTATGTGGTCCATCTGTTATGTTGATGACGCAGAACTTTTAGTTTACTGTGGACCGCCCAAGAGCAAAATTCCGTTACGTTTAATGCAGCAATTTTCTTGTGAACTGTTATACTTACTGCTCAGTCTGTTGGTCTGCCCTGCCAATAGAATATAGTCTGGTGAGGTGCAGACAAAATTTTTATACATATCTAGCGGGAAGTAAAATACTGTTGAGGCTTAATTATTGAATATATATGAATTATATTATATTATATTCACGAATTCTATTATTATATTCACAAACGAATATATAGTTATTGCGGTTTGTACTCGGATATGGGAGTAATATCCTTTATAAGGATGAAAATTGGTATAGATCACGAAAGTTAGTGAATTTAATAAATGTCTCAACTTATAAGAAACGATTGCTCACCAACATAATTGAGGTTCGAACTAAACACAAGGTGCTTATGTAAGTGTCTCATGGGATTATGATTTTGGGTACTATATATTGCGCGATTAAAAGATTGCGCTTAATCAAGAGATAAATCCATTTATATATATCAGTTAACAAAATAGGCTATGAATAATTCGACTTGACTTAGGGGTTTACATGATCAGGAACACGTGATAAGATGGTAATAATGTAGGTAATTAAATTTAAAAGTAAAATCTTTTTCTTATATAAATCTAGTTTTCATGCGTGGCTTTGTTACTACAACGAGCCCGTTTGATCGAAATGATAAATACCCAGTTAAATATTTCGTTAATTCAAATACCACTGGAAAGACATTCACGAGATATGTTTTACGTTGGGATAATAATGCAATCAACTTTCAACTGCGTGGCCGGCTTGGCATGTAAACACAGATGGTGCAAACGTCAGCATGTAGATGGTATACAGATGGCGCTAGTCTGGGTCGCACCATCTGTGCACCGCTAGAAGACTGACCCACCTTTGAACGTAACCGTGTATTGCACTCACACTGGCACGACTACTGCCATGAATTCGTAAACCATGCTACGAATGAGGCGTGAATGTGAAAAATATAACTCAGTACTCACTGCAGTGTGTGACAGAGAGCGCATTTTTTCGTCGACGAAAACATGGAGTCACGGACAGACAGACAGACAGAAGGACAGACAGACGGACAGACGGACGGACATGACGAGCACAATAGGGAATTTTTTCCATAAATGAGAAAATGCGCTGAAAATACAATGAATTTCCCTGAGTGAAATTTATTCAACGTATAGGAAGCAAATGTTTATATTTATCAAGCGAACGCAATTTTCCATAATTGCTGGCACTGCACCAACGCCCGACTATAACCGTGTGAAATTTTACTCAGGAAATGACGGCAGCTGCGTGATTGTTATTTGAAAGGATTTATTTGTGTTTCAAAAACTTTACTGCGTAAAATGAGTAGGATAGCAATAAATTCACTTGAATTTATTTATTCAAGTGCTGGGAGAGATGTCAGTGATAAAATTTTCAGCAATCTTATTGTTCAGTATCTTAAATAAGGGGAAATTAAAAAAATGCACACCAATTTGGCTGATATATCCACGTTATTTCTTCAACAGCCGAGGCTAGAAAAAATTATTCTTGAATGCTAAGACCAAAATGAAACCGTCTGCACAGTGAATGCACGGTAACTATTTAGCAGTAAATTAATCAGAATATATTTGCCTTCTATTAGCGTTTTCTCTCGGTGATTAAAAGGTTAGCTGATGTTTTCATTACAACACTTCTCTTAAACTTCACTTCTTGTTGGTTGTTTCCTACAAATCTTATATTCGATATTTAACAAACTTCTACTTGTCCAATGGATCTGAAATTTTGCACATTTTCGTAAAGTCGGAGACAATACATGAATCAACTGACAAAATAAATAATGGATTTGAATTTTTGCACATTTTCGTAAAGTCGGAGACAATGCATGAATCAAGTGACAAAATAAATAATTTGAAAAATTAATGAATTTTTAATATATGTTAAGAAATGTAAAAAATATATTGTTTTAATATTTAGAAAATAAAGTAAGAAATTCATTGCACATGTGTAACATCGGAGACACTGGCCTTTTTAGAAGCGTTGAATTTAAAAATTAATTTTCAAACGCATATTTTTATTTTATTGTTAAGTCTATTCAGGACGGCGTTGAAGATCAAGCTAAATTTTATCAATCGACAATTTTTGCAATGTTCTGGTTTTGCATTCAGAAAGTCTTAGAACTGATCATAACATCAGAATGAAGATGTTATCCATACTAGCTCTGATGACACGAGGCTTCTGTATTTGAGCACATTGAGATTTACTTCATTTTTGACCGGGAGATGCATTTAGTCCAAACTAATGCCTCTGCATGAATATTTAATATGCATATTCTGTTCTTAATTCGTTCATAATCGAAGTAAAATGTATGATTATGCAGCAATGAGTTCAGCAGAGCGTCTCGCTGAGAACTTGTCTTTGTCATGCAGCGCGAGAAAGAGAAGAAAGAAATGCAAAACATTGTAGGATATAAAACAGGCGCATATCGCATTATTGAGTTTGGCTGAAGGTGTGCGAGGTTTGGTTGGGGTTGGGAAGGGAAGTGGTGGGAGAGAAATCGCGAGAACGAACTATGTAATAGGATGAATGAGGATGATTGAATTTCACCAGGATGAATGTGGATGATTGAATTTCACCAGGATGAATGTGGATGATTGAATTTCACCAGGGTTATGAGGATGATTGAATTTCACCAGGATGAATGAGGATGATTGAATTTCACCAGGATGAATGAGGATGATTGAATTTCACCAGGATGAATGAGGAATTTGAATAAACTGCGGGAACTGTTAGTGGATAAATAAATTTCGACAATTAAGTGTTGACTAAAAAGTTAGTCAAAATGGCATCAAACTACTGCGAATTACCTAAAACGTGAAAAATATAATACGTAAATAGTTTTATGTAGATTTAGTTAATACGGATGATTCGAAGATTTTTTCCTCATGGATAAATGAAGAAAAACCGCATGTGGAGATAAAGCAAAAAATTTACATGGTAAATGCCTATTCGTAGTCATAATTAATGTACTTCTTATGTTGCAGATCGTGCACAATGAAGCTCCTACAATCAAGGTTTATTCTGAGCTCGATAACAGTCGTTGTGCTGATCAGCGATGTAGTGGCCGACTCAGGTAAATATTCAGTTAAAAGGTACAGTCGTCCTTCGAATGTTACTCTGAATGACACCAACATCAACAGTTTGCTACCCGTCAACTATACTGAAATGGGTGAAAACGTCAAGGCTTCTGGAAGTTATCACAAGTCATCGCGTAGAATCGGTCTTGCCTTACTGAGTGACGATGAATCAAAACAGGAAATGAAGAGTAACTTCAGAGTCCATCGCAGCGGTGACCAAGGGAGTAATGAGGAAAGTATAAAATCGTCTCAGCCGGACATAAGCTCAATAGTTCCTTCTCCAGTAGACAACAGCCTCCGTCCTTCACGAATTGCTCAGCTTCGTAAAAAGTTCCCGAGATTTGAATCGCGTTTTGGATCACGTATTCGGAAAACAGGGACAAATAACACTGAAACTCCCGTAGAATCATCATACAGAGAAGACAAAGCAACAGAAAATGAATTACTGCCAGAAAACTCCATGAGTATCAGAAATGAACCTACGAGGATACGAAGGCCTCAAGTAATCAAAGAAAGAACTCACTACCGAACTATTTCATCACCATTTCCTGAGAGCGTGACTGATTCACCTTCAACATCTTCGCCAAACGTTTCGCCTACAGCGAAATCACAAGACGGAACTGATATGGATTCGAAACGAGATTCCATCACGAATAAATTTGGCTCCATTTTGAAACGCCCAAGGGAACCTCCACGACGACGAAACAATGATGGCAGAGAAAATAACGAACATCATACTCAAGCTGATGAAATTTCGTCTGAAAATGGGGCGACAGTTTCGAACACGTATAAAGAATCTAATAAGGCTCCTGAAATATCTGCTACTGCATGGGTGAAAGAGCCCAAAATAAGCTCCACCATGACTTTGACAGACTCAGACTCGTTCGAAAAGATGGATTCGGATTTTCATTATTCCAAAGGAGAACCAACACAAAAGCCTTTCATTCCGTCAAGAAGTTTCGGCAGCGGCTCAAATTTTCACAGAAAGCCTGACCCCAATTCTGACTTCATTGCAATGGAGCACGAGCCAGGTTCTAGAGAATATCAAGATAATCAACAAAATCATGCAAGTACCAAGAATGAGGATAGTTCTTCTTTCTCGCCTGCTGATTACTCAAATGCTGATCACGAAAGAGGTAAATGGGATCGTGATGGTTTGAAATACAGACATGTTCCACGAGGAGAAGAGCCGAATAATATAGAGTATCCGAGGCATAGGCCGTCGGAAGCTGAGGTTTCGATAACGACTCGAGCAGATCACGCCCCAGAGATATTCAGAGGCGATGTCAGAAAGTCCACAGCTAATCCTGGTAAAGAAAACAACCACCCAAGGCTGAATCGTTTTCAAAATAAAATTCCCGCTCAAAATACCTTTTCAGGGCCCGAACCAATTTCTTCACGAAAAATTGCCACTTCCACTGGGTACCAACACGTAAATCAGAACATCAATCCACCTATTAGCAATAACCCTAACTGGGCTTTTGATCCGCAATGGAGTTTGCCTCACCAAGATTATCAATCTAATCCAGCGCCTAGAACAAATCCTCCTAGAATCTCTCCAACTATTGCCACCTCTCTAAGAACCACTGGTCACAGATTCCCTACTATGAGACCTACGACAGAAAGAATTGTACCAAGGCCAACAAAAGTTCCGGGCGCCGTGGATATTGTCAGAAGAGACGAATTTCCTTTCGAATTTTGGCGCCCTGAAAATGAAAACGATTATGAACACGCGAGCAATGTCAGGAAAGAGCAAAGAGAGAATGCGCCTCCACTAGACTTTAAAGAAGTTCCAGATCATTTATTTACGGTAGGGAACGGACCCGTGTCTGTTCCTGAAGAACTTGCAAGAAAAACTTTTGAGATGGTAACTGCAGCTCCGAGTTTTGATCTCACGAGCAATCCATTCGAAAAGGACGAAAACTTTCGGTTCAATTCTCAATTTCCTCGTGAAGATTTTGGAATTCCTCATTTTAAACCCTCTGAATCTGAGAGAGATGAGCCAACAAGACATTTCAGCAACCAAAACCACGAATTCCGTCAAGTAAATGGGCTACCATCGAATTCTGGTCATTTCAGTCCTCGTGCTCCAAGTCAACGACCGTTTGGACCTCATAACGTTCGGCCCAGTCATCCAATAACACCTATACGTCCACCGGAGAGATATAGTCTAACACCTTTATCACACCCACCTCCTTTTTTAACTACTACCTTCCTGCCTCTCAGGTCTCCTGCCAAAATTCATCCTCATGGTCCTCTAAATAATATTCAAGTAATCCATCTCTCGGCCAACGAAATTCCAACAAATCATGGTAACAGGAAAAGTATAAACGAACAATTTCCGTCTTCCAATTTCAACCATATACATCCATCGAGTGGTTCTGTTCGACCGCAAACGCAATATTCTATAAATCCAGCAGTCTTGCCTTCTTTCCGACCGACTCATGAGCAAAACCGGCAGACCCCAGTCAATAAAAATATACGTCGTCCAGGGCCTTACAAAACAAAAATGAATACTCTACGCAGGCCACAACATGTAGCTCACCCTCAGCCCATTAGAGGAAATAATTTCAAGCCTCATCGACCAAATGTCAACCAAGGAGTTATTCCACAAGATTTTTCCTATTTGGATACAGATAGAATCCGCGTTATCAACCCTCACCTAAAGTACTCGACGGTGGCTCCAGAGCTATCCACAAGTAGTCATTTTGACGTACGGCATCAACCGGCACAAGTCAGTCAGGAATCAAAAAATGAGCAGAGTGTCGCTTTCAGAAACAGAGATGATCCCCCTGAACATAACTTTCAGAATATAGAGTTGTTTTTCGGATCTGATCCTCAGGAAGAGCAGTCATTGCAGCCGCACATTCCTCCGAACCATTACATTCCCCAAGAAAACTTACAGTTTCACCGCACCCGCCGTCCTATCCATCGACCAATGAGACGCAGACGGCCGCAAAACCCTAATGTTGAGAATGAACCGGAATCTTCTTCAATTTGGTCGGCCTTGACAAACTTCGATATGAGTTTCCTTAATCCATTCCGTCAAGACAATGAAGCCGAAGGTAGCACTCAGATCGACAGAGTGGCATCAGCAGCGGCTGCGATCCCTACAGCTCTCTTGGTCCCAGGCGGCTTGGCAGTCTTAGGCGCCGGATTATCACTCTTCTACTTCAATTTCGTATGGCAACCAACTCCTGTGGTAAAAGCCAGACTTGCCAGTGTCATTCAGAACTGGAGTCACGCTAACGTCCTCACAGCGGAACAGCAGAAGGCAGTTGGGGACATAACAAAGGTGGGTCAAAGTTTAATCTTGGAATTACTTGTTTTATTTATTTATTTTTATCGTTGAGTATTTCCACTATTGAATATTTAATTTATTTTTACATCACTCTGCAATTATGAATCATTATCCAAAGGAATATTGCTATAATGAAACTGGTAGTGTAGGCCAGAAGTACTTCTTGTAAACGAATGGTCCAGGCACTTCGTATCTCGCACGAGAATACAAGGCAAAAAATTTCCAAAATTCTGCGCCGGTAACTATCGCAACGGTAATAAAATATTGGTTGATATACAGCACGCGGATAATATAATAAAAAATTTTTAAAGTAAAAGGACGTCGACGTCCCGCAGGTGAGCATCATAATTCAGCAATGTTCAAATTCGAAATTCGAACGTCACATACAAATCTATGTTCAAAACAAGTATCCTGAAGTAAAAATTCAGACAAATTTGGATACCAAATATATACGAGCATTTAAATCGAAACCACTTTGGCGTTTTAAATTCTCGAGTGAATTTTTTTCGAGGGAAACAGTCGGTTTAGATTTTCTACGTGGGCAGCTCAGCTAAAAATATCCTAGTTATCCCTGCCAAAAACTTGCGGTGCTCTTTAGAAACCTTGCAAATGTGTTTTCTTGACGAGAAGGAAGGGTTAACAGAGCAATTATATTAGCGGAACATTGCGGAATGAGAAAGAATTCATTGGTATATCCCAGCGAGGTATACCAGCATTAGGAGCTGTTAGAAATTCACCGGCGAGACGTATTGGCATTAGAAGGGGTTGATAGGAACATTGATTAAATTGACAAATGATTACAAATTTCCCGCCGCATCTGAATAAAGTAATACAGAGTATCCTGGAACATTTTTTCACTCATGTATCCCATGATGTTAGGTGTACTCGGCGTTATCCGCCATTGCCTCAAAATTGGAAGACATGGACAAGTCGGCCGGGAACTCGACGCTTGACGACGCCAGCAGCGTGAGCAACCACGAACTGCTCGTGTCGCAGCCCTGCAAGAATAAGATGGTGTGCCAGACCTACGACGAGTTCGATGAACTCTTCGACATCACCAAGTCAGCTGCTACCTTCCTCGGGTATGTGAGAATTGCTCTTCAAATGAGAAGGATAAGTTTTCTAGGTGTAGAAATTCACACATTTATTATTAAACTAGCCTACAAAATCATGGAAGTTTGCAGATGTATGGCCACATCTGCTCGAATGTTCAGTAGATTTGTGAAAATTGCATTTAATAAGATATTGCTGGGTTTAGATTTTAAACTTTGATACAAACAAAGTAGCTTGACCCGACTGGCTCGGAATAGTAACTTCGTGAGAATTGCTCGAAAATACCACTACCCCAAATCCAGTCATACAGGATTCTGTCAATTCTAATCCCGCCATCTCGAGTCCCGTAGTAAGGAATCCCATACATTTTCGTGTACACATTTAGCATCTACATAGAACTCCCATCTGCCTCCCGGTACTAAGAAAAACAAAATGCTCATTTTTCCTTCCAGTGATCAAAATTTAATTCAATAATATAAATAATTTGTGGTCCCCTGTTTTGCAATTATCATGCGTGCGCCTTGACTGCCATTAATCGGATACCCATTAACAAGGCCAGAGTGTATTTGTCATATTAAAGACTCCTGCCAAGGAGATAATACAGTTTCAAATAATATTCGTGAAGGCTAATCGATATTAATTTTGCAGTAACACCCTGGACCACCTGGATCAAGAGATGGTGCTACAGTTCCTGCTGGCAGCTGACAGAGGTCACCATCTGTCGGACAAGAGCGGCAATCTGACGTGCGACGCTTACTACCCCGCATGCCCCCTACCTGCCATCTCGGTGAAGGATACCCTGCGCGACCTCGTGGGCATCCCCAACCTAGATGACAATTCCCTCGACACTGTCTCTTCTCTGGACCAACAACAACGTTCGCTATCATTCAAATCTGACGACGTTGGGGAAACTATAAAACTCAAGGACGATGAAACCAGATAATCGCTATTCTAATGGTCTTTAAGTTATTGTCTTATTTGGCGAAACTGCAGTCATCTTTCAGTGAGGTGACGAAACAACTGCTGGTTTCCAGCTTCTCAGGTGTTAATTTCGTACGCTCCAATAATTTGAAATTCATCTAGGCGAAACGACAAAGGAAATTTTAATAAAATTTGTCAAGGCAATTATACAATCGTAATGAGTGAAAAAATGAGCATATTATTAATAAAATTGGAGCGGCTGAATAATTTACAATTCCTAAAGGCAACGCAATGAAGCAGGTTATGAATAAGATTCATGAAGCTGAATATTTCACAATTTTCAAAGGCAAAGTAATGAAACCCACTTATATGAAATTCTCGAAAGCGAATAATTTACAAGGAGAAACGAAGAAACATGTCATCTCTCATGGGAAACGGAGAAGCATGTCACAAAAATTCGGTTCCTATGAAATTTGACTGACGTCTGGCATATCAATAAATTTACATACTTAAAGCTCTAGGGGTATATTGTGCATAGCTCTAGAGGGATAGTATTTATTTGTTCGATTCTCGAGTTATATTGAATGAGAAAAAAAATCAAGAACAAATAGAATACTGATCAAATTGAGTCTTATTCTATTTTTTAAAGTATTTTTTATAAGTAAATTATTGACTGGTTTATTGTACGATTAGTGTCTGAGTATGTACGATTCGTATCTGAGTATGTACGATTAGTATCTGAGTATGTACGATTAGTATCTGAGTATGTACGATTAGTATCTGAGTATGTACGATTAGTATCTGGTATAAAATTTTTTTGTCATTACATGACTTCGACGAGTTTGAGAGAAAAATAATGAATTAATTTACAGACTTTGAGTTTATAAGCAATGGCAGGTCTGCATGTTAATTAACTGATGCTAATCGATTGATCACAAGCCTTGAAATTTATCTTGTATTGCAAGATGTTAATGCACGTTGTCAGCCCTTCATTATTTAGTGGAAGTTACTGCAGTTCAAATTCAACGACTGCAATAGAAAAGGAAGTAAGTCAGTAATATCTCAGATATTAGAAGAAACTTTCATTTGATGAGAGATTATTTTCGAATTTCTTATATGGGCGCCTACGAATTTTGCGTCTCAAATATTTTGCATTCATTTTCTTAGACGACACAGGACTGAGAACAGCCATATTCCGTTGGCTGTGTATGTTACTAACAACAAGGAGACTCAATTAAATTCAGGTGAAAATTTTGGCTGGTAGCAAATGTGTTTGCCGTCCGAGCGGTCGGAAAATGTACGTCTTTATTTTTCTTGCCTGACGATACACAATTACTGAGTCGATAATTAATTTTCACTTACTAAACATCTTTTCGCCTTGTGTTTATGTTTTACATTCGGGTATCTTAGGAGCCGGACTTAAAGAAGAAATACAGAAGATAGAAATAGAATAGAAATACAGAAGATAGAAGAAATACTAAGATTAAAGAAATACTTAGCGATTTTCTACAGACTTTTCACCGCGTGACCAGTTCATTAAGGTGAATGGTCATGTAGCGTCATTACAAACCACAAAAGATTATCACAAATATGTACTTAAATTCTATTCAGAATATCATAAGGAAGTGTTTTTGCATCCAGAGTCGCTCGACGTGAAATAATTTAAATATATTTGGGCATTTTGTTGAAAAATAGGAATAGAAATTGCAAGTTTATCAGTGATCAAAACTTCCGGATATACGAAAAACACTCAAAATTATAGGTCCCAGTAAAAGTATTGATACTATTACAACTGAAACAAATTACAGTAAATCGAACTATCTTATTTGCGATGTCAGCTTAGCTGGAAAAAAACACGAATAATTTACTAATGTAAGTTTGGAAATATGGTTGCAGCAAAATAGTACTCGCATTTAAAAAGAGTTAAACCAATATTTAATGACTACCAAAATATTACTGTCAGTATAATCAAAGTAATAATTAAACTCGCAGTACTTGTTTGGCAATTTGAAGGCGTTCAATTTAAGCTTAGTAATTGTTTATGAAGGATAAAAATAACACTTTAAAGTTTATGTGTCAATTAGTGTGTATCTCATTCTTGGAAATTATCCATAATAAATTATTATATACATTCATACTTTAATCATTTCGAATCCTCACTGCGTAGTCTTCACACCAACTTTTTATACAGAATTTCACTGTAAATACGACAAGATAGGCCAGTTGCAGTTAAGGACTCTTCGCAGCAAACGCTCTCCTTTTCTCTTCATATGAAGCTACTTAATAATGGCAGACCGTTACATCCGGCCAACGTTACATCCGGGACCCGGGGGCGGGGTGACCTGCCTATAGCGACGACTCGGAGACGGAGGACGACGAAGGCGGCGCATCAGCGTGACCGTGGACTACGAAGTCCTAAACTCATCACAAGGTCACCGTGACGCGAGGGCCAGCTTGCAGCTGCAGCTCTGAATTTAATCACTATGGCGATTTTCGAAAAGATTATCACAAATATGGACTGAAATTAAGCAATTATTTATTGCATATTTCATCACTATAGCAATTAATTATTGCACATTTAATCACTATAGCAATTATTTATTGCACATTTCATCACTATAGCAATTAATTATTGCACATTTCATCGCTATAACAATTACTTATTGCACATTTCATCACTATAGCATTTAATTATTGCACAATACACCACTATAGCAATTAATTATTGCACATTTCATCACTATAACAATTAATTTTTGCACATTTTTTCACTAATTTTATAGCAACCCATCCCTGCACATTTCTTCATTGGACATTTCATCACTATAGCAAGTCATCATTGCACATTTTGTCACCATAACATTTCATCGAATGCATAAAGTGCATTTTACAAACGTAGCGTGAAAATGTTGCACTGTGCCATGGCAAGAGCCACATGAGAAGGAGCAGGATGAATATTGTGTACAAATTTCCCAGCAGATGGGAAAATTTACGCATATCATGAATACTACTAATTGCTAGTTTGTTATTTCACTCTACTTATCTGCGTTGATAACATTGGCCGTGCCCAAGTGCATGCGATTTTTCTTAAGTTATTTTTATGTACTTTTCACTGATTAGATAGGTTTTTAAGCAACGATAGCAACGACTACTTTTGAGTAGTCGTTGCTATCTGCAACGACTACTCAAACGATGCAATATAGAGAGCTGAACAGCTCACGTATTATTACAGGGCACAGCTTAAATTTGGGATAGTACACTTCCCATGGGTTTCTTTAAAGTGCCAGTATATTCGCAAACCTGGACTTTAAATTAACTATCAGAATTGCAAGCAAGTATTTGTGGTGTCAATGATTAACTAGGCTAAATCTGGCCTGTCGCCGAAACTCGACGTAGCAGAATTCTCACAGCTTGCTGAGACTTCGAACCCACAACTTACGCTCAAACCTTGCAGTTCACAACCGCCCGACAAACTTGCCAATTTTTACCAGAAATGTCACATAAACCAGGAAGCGAGCCCGCAACTCAATGCCTCAATTTTGGTGCTGAGCAATATAACCCCTAGGCCTTAGGTACACGTTTACATGTATCAGCATAATATATGTTTATTCTGCTGAATGAATAAAATTTGTTTCATTAACTTCAATGTTGAGCTTTTTAGTCAAGATGATGACTAAAGATGATCTTAACAGTTTAGTTAACTGGGCTGATACGTGGCAGCTGTGGTTTAATGCTGACAAGTGTAAAGTACTTCACCTCTGGAAGAACAATGAACAGCAAGATTACAGTATGAGAAGACATGGTTGCAACGAGAGAGTAATGATTGAAAAGTCTAGTGTGGAAAAAGATCTCGGAGTTCACAAACTTCTTGGACTAATCAGACGATCATACTAGTTCCTAGATGCAGAAGCGATGAAGCAGTTGTTTGTTGCTGTCGTGCGCGCGAATCTAGAGTTTGGAAACGTTGTGTGGTCACCGAGATTTGAAAAGGACAGAAATTTAATAGAGAATGTTCAAAGACGTGCAACAAGGATAATTAATGAAAAGATCCGGTCAAATGAAACGATATTAGATCTTCTGTGAACAAGGCACGAAAAGGAAAAGAATCGGCGACAGGCCACATCAGGCCTACACTTCAGCGCCGAGATCAATATGTTATGTTATGTTAAAAAAGTTTGACAAAATTTTCAGACCAGTTTTACTATTCTGAAAACTGGATATAAAACTTAGTGACAAATACTGAACCAGAAAATTGGTTCTGAAACCTAATTGGTGGATGTCAGATCCGTGCTATTTAATGAAAATGCGGATATTCCTTTATTCCACCAACAAAAATGTCTTTCAGAGAATTCTTGTTGCTTGAATTAACATATTTCACTCACTGTACTAAATAAGGTTTTCGTCATCGGTTATCACTATATTGTAAAGGTGCCACAATGAGGATAAAATTTACAATTGCTGAATTATCAAGTATATTAATTTTCAAACACAGAAACTCGCTATCATAAACCATTATTATGGGATATAAATATGTGCCAGACAGGTCGCCCCCCTAGAAAATAACTGCAACGGTGACACTCCAATACAATAACGTTGGTAAATACAGGAGCCATCGGACAAACATGAAGGATAAACACGAACGACTACTTGTTGATGATGTGGTCAACATGGTAACAATATCAACCTTTAAAGGATGAAATTGCATTATTTTTTATGAAAGGTTTTCATGCCATGCAATGCAAAGCAAAAAACCTGACTAGTGATTATTTTACATGGAGTTTTTGTTTCTACTCATTCAGCGCTAATTTCAAGTCGTTCAATCAAATTTAAGCCGGCTCAAATGTTTTGTATTGTATACAAGGAACGTACAAGATTGAGGATTTATTTTCATTCCATAGCGTCAAGAAGATGTAGCTTTAATTGAATCAATTTGTTGCCAAGTTCTGCAACAGAGTTCAAGGGATTCGATGGTTCGCTTCCACTGGATTCCTAAATTTTTTCCATTTGAGATTTTGCTGTTCTTTCAGATGTTAAAGAAGCATCGATCAAATCATCACGCTCTTTCTGGAGTCATGGTCATCAGCTCGATTGTGGACTGGAAACTGTCAGACCTCCGAGATCGCTGCTCGGCAACAGCTTCACGGCCGTCATCCACAAAGACGATTTCTGGAGTCATGGTCATCGGCTCGATGGTGGACTGGAAACTGTCAGACCTCCTTGATCGCTGCTCGGCAGCAGTTTGACGGCTGTCATCCACAAAGACGATTTCTGGAGTCATGGTCATCGGCTCGATGGTGGACTGAAAACTGTCAGACCTCCGAGATCGCTGCTCGGCTGCAGCTTCACGGCTGTCATCCACAAAGACGATTTCTGGAGTCATGGTCATCGGCTCGATGGTGGATTGAAGACCTCCGTTTAGTTTAGAAAAATCGGTCGGGTAGGCGTGCCCTAGGGTCGAGCACAGCGCCATACCGGTGAGGAACAAAATTGTATGCATCTGAAAAATTAAATAAATGTTCATTACACTTCGGTCAAATAGAAAGGTAATAATCACTGGATACGAAGCGGATCTTATGCAACGGAACCCATTTTCTTCGATCTAAAAAATTTTTATAGATTCTTTTAAAACCGCGATTCTTTTATAGAGTCACGGCTTCCGCCAACTACTCTTGATTGCGTGATCTTTCATGTGAAGTTGTCCATGCTGACTCAGGTCTAGTACTTTTACATCAATCTCTACCAAGTCTAGTGAATGAGACGTGGTAGATTGAATGAGACGCCTGATTGACACCGGACACTT